TTCATTTTCTTTCCATTGCTCAGAAAGGCATCGACAAGAGAAAGAAACCTTTTTAAAGTAATAGCCTAGAGGCGTTTACACTTGCAACAGCTACTCTTCTTTTTTTATTAAATGGTCATTTGTGTCAGAGATCCTATTTGTACAAAAAATAAAAATGAAGAGACATCTGCTTAGGATTAGTGCCTTTTTGATTTCCGCACCTTCATTTTCAAGATGATGCAGTTCTATTGTTCCCGGTTAGGGAGCTACTTTTCACTTGTCAGGTGACCAGACAGACTCGAGAACGCAGTTTGGCGCATGAATGAAACGGGACGCAGTGTTCATTTGCAATTTTATTTTTTAAAAATGAAATATTCAAAGTACTTTTTTCTTTCAAATATCGACACAATGTTGAACTTTAAGTATTTACAGCATGTTGTTGTGATGCTCTTGTAGAAAAATGCATGCTTCTGGCCTGAAAGCCAGAGCAAAATGCAAAAGACCATTTAACTGCAGCCAGAGAACATGAACCTGTACAGTATCCAGTCACTTTTCAGCACAGGAGTGAGAGCAGGAATACAAAATTGGAACCTATTGTTTCCTAGCAACATGGCTCAGGCCATTATAACACAATTTTCAGTATGATTAGAACCTCTAACTGTTGTTATATAGAAACTGAAAATCTTGGCATACACTGTAAACATCTTTACTGTCCATGAGAAAGTAAGCAGCTAAAAAGAATATTTTTCCGACGTAAAGGCTACACTTCTCTTTTTCACCTTCTTGCTTACCAATGCTTTTGCCAGAAGAAGAGTAAAGATTCAGACATTGTCATGATTCATACAAGTAAAATATTTTTCAAGGACACAATCTGATATACTAACATTTATTTAAGAGGTTAAAGTCCACCACTAAATCTAAGGAAAGATTTTTAACTGCCAAACACATTTCCTTTGACAAATAATGTAAGATGACAACTGCCAAGACAACATCCACAGCAAGTTTAACTAACTATTTTCAGTTACTGTTTAGGAAGTAATTTCTTATTACACACAGTAGTAGGTTTGGTCCTTAATAGCTTTCACGTGAAGGACACACTGAACTAACAGTCACTATCTTGTGGTTGAATTCTTTTTTTGTTTGTTGTTTTTTTTTTTTTTTGTTTTGCTTTTTTGTTTTTTGTGTTTTTTGTTTTTTTTGGTCTTTTTTGGTTTTTTTTTGTGTTTTTTTTTGTGTGTTTTTGTTTTTGTTTTTTCCTTTGCAGAATAAAGAACCTTACAGAAGGCTGTGGAAGAGCAGTCTGAGATCTGAAGTACTAGTCAGGTCAGCTATGTGTATGTGAGTTCCTCCAAGAAAACAAGAATGTCGCATCCAATCTGTGGCCTTCTGTCTTTCCACAAGCTAGAATACACTCCAGTCTCTCCCAAAGTGTCTTTCAATACTTGATTGCTATACTTTTGCTTCCATTACAATTGCCCTTACAGCAACGTATCTTTATAAATGTAAAAACTTCACCCTGACTCAGGTGATATTACAGTGGGGCCTGGTCTGGTTAAAAACAGATTTTAAAAAAAGGAAAGAAAAAAAAAAGAGTAGGAACAACATGATAGAATGCTTGAAACTGTGTCAACAGTTATGAAAAAGAAAAATCTTAGAAAAATTATCATTCAATTTTATACCTCTCTATGTAGTTAGCTTGTGAATTCCAAATTATACATTGTCAAGTTTTTATACATTTGGCTATGTTGTATATATATTATATTATATATATATAGTCTATATATTATAGATCTTCTAGATAGATAAATTGACAGTAAAGGACACGCTTATTTTATACAGTATTTTGCTGGGTTAAAAATAAAACATATACCTATTTATATGGTGAGTGTTTTGCTAGAAATTAGGATGAATTGGGCTTTGTTTCCCTTTCCTTCAGGAGTCATACTTCTAATCAATAATGATTAGAATGACAACTAAAAATAAATGTAATTAAATGCCTGTTAAACTGCAAACTTTGCAGTTCATTTGGATCTCTAGACTGTAGTGCAAGAGTAAAAACAAAACGAAACAAAGTAAAACAAAACAGCACAAGTAAAATGGGCCTAACTAGGAAAAAGAAACAACCACAGAGTATTCCCTGCCTCCAGCCCAGAATGTTCTTCATGAGAGCCCCAACTAGCGGGCTCTCAGTCGAACGGACTTGAATGGTGTGTGGTTATGCAGTGTCAGCTGCCTGTGCTCTGGGTATGAGAAATTCAAATATTTCTCTTTAAGATACATTTACTTTCATCAGGAAATGCAAACAAATTGTTCTTTCATTAAGTTAAACTTCAGAATTGCAAATCTATGAAGGCATTCCTTGTATTCAGCTGAACGATGTACCCAGTATCTCCACGTTCTTATTAAGAAATGCCAAAATGTTTCTCTTAGATTTACTGTTCATTGGTGCTAACCTTTTGGGTTTTTTTCTCTTTCCTCCCAAAAACTTTGGAAGTGGTAAAGAGAATAATAATAGTTCAAGGCAGTATTAAAACCACAGTTATAAGTGATAAAAAGTGCATTTCCTGAATATAATACAACTTTAAGAAACTAAAGGCACAAACTAAATAAATATGTATTACAAACTAGAAATGCACAGTTCAAGGTAATCACTATTAAGTAAAAGCTTCAAATATTTGTTCCTAATGGATATTTAAAGCAGTTTGAAAATGATACATCATCAGTGAATTGCAAAAAAGTATAATAATCGCTTAAAATATAAGCAAAATAGACTCTAATATTGACATCTTGGATTGGTGATAAAATACATCATCACATTTATGAATGCACTCTCTATATACAGTTCGCAAATTATTTTTCCATTGATTTAAAAGAACTTCAGAGTTTCTAGGAACTTAAGGTCCATTTTTAGGCTGGTGTGGAGGTATTCAAATTTTCAACAAGTTTGTTCATAATTTTAGAATCCCGTCCTGAATAAATATTGTACCACTAACACAGGCCTGATTCAGGGGGAAAAAAAACAACACAGTAATATGATTGTAGTCTCTATCAGTAATCTCTTGAGCTCGTGTGCTTCCAGTTAAAAAGAGAGAGGAGTTCATCATGAATTCTCTCTCTCTCTGTCTTTCTCTCGGAATACATGTGTAAGAATGTGGTAATCCCAATGTGAAGTTTTTGAAAATGAAATGTTTGGATCCACCCTCCCCTGCTGTCTGCAGGTCCTTGCCTTTCTGTCCTTCCACTTGGTGGAGTAAGGAATCAGACTCTTTAAAAACCTTAATGGGAGCCTGAATTCTGACTTTGCATATCTTCAAAGAAGACTGTCATCACAAAGCAAGGCAATGACCCCACACTGCATTTAGGTTGTAGCTGGAAAGAATCCAAACTGTAACATTCCATCATAAATTCTTCTTCAGACATAGCAAATGTGCAGACCCAGTGATGAAAGGTGCTGAAGCTGGCTCAGGGGAATTTTCAACAGGCCACATTGTGCTGTCATGTATTTTCATTTGTGGTAACTTACAATTACACAGCGTTTTTACAAACTGTCTCTTTGTCACCGGGCACAAAACTTGCAGCTCACCAAGGGACTTCTTTTTACTACAGGATTCATAAAGATTGAGAAACTGCAGCTGATATTACCACTAATCCTGATCTTTTTCCAAAGTTTAACTGATCATGGAACAAAATAACCCTTCCTGGAAAATAGTTATTTTCCCAGGCAGGACAGATGATTAAATCAAAGTAAATGGGTAAAGACAGAGAACTAAAATAACTAACCGTATAAATTATTTTAGTAAAAAAACAGTCTGCCTCTCTATAATGAGTTGAAATGTTTTAGATCGGAAAGGGTTCGTTTAATTAAATTTCCTGACTGTGGCTGGGAGATGTTCAATACAGAATTGTACATTTGAAAGATAAATCTAAGTGGGATGAGTCAATGTGGCAGCAACTACTGTAATGTTTGGTTTGGTCTTCCCTTTAGTACTTTCCTTTCGTCTTAGTACTAGGTCTGTTTTTATAAAGATTTTGGTTCTTGTGAATTTCTGTTTTTTTAGTGAACGTATTTATCGGTATTCCAGGCACGTATGCCTGCTAAAGTCTCTTTTATTTTTTTGTACCAGAATCATTTGTAGTAAATTACCTTTCGTGTGCACAAAACCACTGGATTAGCGTATCAATACAGAATCACTAAGGTGAAACTATGACCAAAAACACAAAAAAAAAAAAAAAAAAAAATTCCTACCCAGGTTAATAAAAGCTATGCTTACAATTTGGTAAAAAAAAAAAAAAAAAATATGTTGATGGATATGAAGAACTCAACCACATTCTTTCCAGTCTGAAAAAAGTAGTCAAAACAGGTTGTGGGAGAAGTTACACTGGCCAGCTGCCTTGGTATCATGTACACACAAGCAAATAGTGGTAATTCAGTCCGGTTACCACACCCACAGGGAGGCGTGGTAGGCAGAACCCAGCCACCACACGCCAAAACACAGCACAACAACATGGTATTTACTTTAACAAGCAAGGAGGAATAATCAGGGAGGAAGGGCGAATGGGTCCTGACTCTGGGAGATGGTGGCTGAGGACATTTTACACTTGTTTGTAAGTTTCCTATAATGGATCTGGGAAATGTGAAAAGGCTGGCAGTCTTTCAAAAAGCAAGGTTCAGAATACTATTGCACCACATTTTCAAATAGCCCACAAGTTCTGCCAACAGTTAAACGTGAAATTTCGTGTCACAATAGAGATAGAGAACCTTGGGTCCTTTATATTTGAACATATGCATGACTTGACAAATTTAAAGTGGTGCTTTCTGAAAACTTTTTTTTTTAGCTGTTTTACTTGTGTTATTTTGAATACTGCCACACAAGAACTAAAAATCTCTGTCATTTCTTAAAGAGTTTAAACAAACAATATTAAAATACCATCTTCCGTCACATTGAAAGGCAGTTGGATATGTTTTCCCTCCATATTTACATATACAGAGTTCTGATCTAGAAAACCAATACAATAAACCATTTTATGTTTTAAAAACAGGCAGTCTTTGGTGACGCAAAGGCAGAGATTTTTTTGTTACCTCCTGCCTATTTCACTCTGTCTCATAAAGTGAATATTGTTGGCACTGTCAGAAAGTTCTAAATACTGCTCAACAGACAAAACAAAATACCCATCATAACCTTGTACCCTCCCAGTGCTCAAAAGTTGCTGCTTTTCTCCCTCTGTCCATGCTCGAATACCCTCCTCCCCTTCTTGCAGTCTTCTTTGTTCCTTAGTCCAGGCCTGGGCAACAGCACGTTGTCTGGCAATCTCCAACACGTGATTCTTTTCCTCTTCGACAGTTGTCCCATACCGGATGTTGAAGCACAGAGCCCCGTGCTGGAGCTGGATATCTGCAAACCGTCTAGTCCTCCCATTCAACACGGAAGTCATCTGGGACACAGTGACATTGACACCATTCTCTAGAATCCGCCTCCCCCCAGTGTTACCGATGAGCACCAGATCTTCCTCCAGAGACCCAAGCTTAATGAAGTAGTGAGTGTCCCTCCCCTCTATGGTAAAATGTAGGTTTTCCAGGTAATGAGCATTATTGAGAATGGCAGCAAGCCGCCTGCTATCTTCATTCGCTACTCCTATAATATCAGCTGTTACTATGCCATCCTTGATGGCGAATTTTATACCTTTTCCAAAAACAGAAGGAACAGCCGCAAACCTTGGTTGCTTCCCTCCTTCAAGGCACCGGCCATCATTGTATCGGGGAGTCATAGGAAGCTGGTCCAAGGAAATGAAATTCCTGAGCTGTTTCTGGAGCTCACACTGAATACCCAGAATAGTCTAGGAAAGAAGAAAGGCACAGTGCAAATGCTTGGTGATTGTGAAAAGCACCTTCTTGCTTTACCGTGCTGGTGAATGATTTCACAACAAGCCAAATTTGGAATCTCTTCATCAGCGATTTGGCAAAGACAAGACTAACAGGTTACTTGGTCACCTGGCACATACTTCTTGAGGTCTTGATGAGTTAAACATAAGGAAGTATGTTCAAATTTGGTATCATAGAATCTCAGAACTAGAAGTAACTTCAAGTTAAGTGGGCCCAGCTCCCCCAAAACAAAGACATTCCAACTTCACCAATTTAACTAATACTCACTAGCTGTTTGTTACTGTACATGGTGTGATACATTAGCCACAGTGAGGAGCAAAGAGGGTTTAAGGCCTTATTCTTGCTTTTAAACAGATTATAACCTTCTACATAACTACAGCAAATCAGCAAGAAGTTCACTGACCTTCTTACATGGACTTAAAAAAACCCCTTTTTATTATGGGCATTTTCAAACATACTAGGAAATAAAGAGAAGAGAATAATGAACCTCCAAGTATCCACAACAAAGTTTCAGCAATTTCAACATTTTGGTTAACTTTTTTAAAGGACTTTTAATTATAAAAAGGACTGTTAATTACTTTTTAATTACAAAATTATTTTTATATATTATATGTATTTACAAAACAGTATGAGCCTATAGTACCTATTTAGATTTGCCTTTCCCTTATAATTTTTTAAAAAGATTTTATTTATTTGAGAGAGAGAGAGAGAGCATGAGCGGGGGGGGTGCGAGGGGCAGAGGGTGAGGGAGAAGCAGACTCCCTGCTGAGCAGGGGGCCTGACGTGGGCCTCGATCCCAGGACCCCAGGATCATGACCTGAGCTGAAGGCAGATGCTTAACCAACTAAGCCACCCAGGTGCCTCTAATTTTTTACACTTAAATTTCAGGCCCTCCCATCCAAATTTCAGTTTTATTTTGCTGAAGTAATTTTTTTTTTTTTTGCAAAGAGACAGTCCTCCATTTCTTTCAATTGAAAGAAAAAGTTACTTCTTGTTTTCATTTGTACCTCATACTCTTGATGAAATTATCTGCTGAACTGCGAATAGTTTGGTATTCCTATTTTCCCAGAGACTCTATCCCTATAGTGTTTATTATTTTTACTTCATTGCTCTTACTACTTTTTCTTTGTCAGAATAATTTAATTCTGTTCTTCCCATGTTTTTAATGCACTACACCCTAAATTATTTCGCTGTTGGACATCTCAAGTTTTTATGTCTGTCAGTGAACAGTTTTCTCTATACAGAATCCATAATTGCCCTTGGCAGTCCGTTCCAGAATTTTAAAAGTTTAGTTCCTCCTGTTTGTCCACTGCAGCAGGTCATCAAATCCCACGTTAGTCTTGTCTTTTCTAAAAGCTCCAATTCCCTGATCCTTTCCTCATGGAGGCTTTTTTCTACCTCCTCATTAACTGTGGACATTTCAGTGAATATTCAAGATAACTCAAAAATAAGTAAGCAAATATATGTTAATGCCATTTCATGGTGTTGGATGCTCATCTGTTTTTTCAGATAAATAGAGATGGTAAAATTTTTACAAACCTTTCCAGGATCCCACTCTTGAGTTTTTGTCTGAAGCTGTAGAAGCTCATAAGTTAATTCCAAATTTTCTAATTCTGGTTTGGGAAATCCAGGTAGAACATTGTGTAACTGGAAACCAAACAGCTCCAACCAACTTCCAATGTCTGTGAGGCACAAAATATAAAAGAAAAAAAAATGATGAAGCCCATACTTTACAACCTTTGTGGAAATCTTGAATGATACCTCTCCTGCCTTCAAAATGGTCAGCCAATGGGAAGTTAGGGATAAAACTCCCCCTTCTATCACCTGCTCTAAAACATAGGATCCTCTCTCTACAGGGATACCTTTTGATTCATGGATAATCACAGAGATAGGTTCAGTTTACAGCACTGAAACTCTTAATGTGGTAATGGTACTGAGGCCACACAGACCGTAATATTAGATTTATCTGATGGAACATAATCCTGAATTTTTCCTTTGTGAAATTATTTGTATAAGCTTTTTAAAAAAAGGATGTTATTTATTTGAGAAAGAGAGAGTGAGCACAAGCAGGGAAAGAGGGAGGGAGGAAGCAGACTCCCTGCTGAGCAGAGGAGTTTCTGCTGTTTCTACAAACAGAAAGCTTAAAAGGAAAGAAAATGTGCCCTGGGATGCAGAAGCATCATGTTTTATGCCCCTTGCACAGTTGTGCTCCCTCTAGAAGACTAAGGAAGAGAGTGACTACATAATAACTTGTGGGTTAACTGGCAGGAAGAGGAAGCATATTTACAGAGGCACTGAGATTGTGTGATAAACACCATGGAGTTATTGCAAGTTTAGTGTAAAGTTTTATACCTGTGGTATACTTTGCAACATCTTGAATTTTGCCAACTGGGTAGTTATTTTCAAAGGAGTAGAGGTTGAATGGTTTAGGAAGGAGGTTCAACTGTTTCCATATGTGATGATTAGGCGTTGTCCACCTGCCAGCAACAACATCGTAATCCCTTTGCCCCAGGTGCACTAATTTAGTAAGCAAATCATAGAGTCCTCCATGGAAACCAATGACGACCTGAAAGTCAGGGTAAGTGTCATGATAGATATCTCCATAAGGCGTGTACAGTATCTCTTTTATCACCTGACCTCGACTGCTGAACACAGCCAGTGGGGTGCCTGTATTATCACAAGCTACATAATATTCTTCACCACTGCTTAGCTCCATGGCAATAAGGTGACCTTGGAGATCATAATACAGGGATGTAATCTCTGAGCTCGTGTGGTTGTACAAATGAGTAACTCTTATGGGGTTGGCCAGGTCCGCATAAAAGAACTGAAGGTGCTGCCCTAGGCTGGACTTACTGGCGACACGTCGCCCAAGCCCATCATAGTAATACTGCACAGTCCAGCCAGCAGCCTTATTGTAGGCTTTCTGCAGCAGACCATTAGAATTATATTCAAATATGTCATTTCCCCTCTGCCTCAGAAAGCCATCTTCATCCATTTTATACTGAATTTCTCCTAGTCTGGTGATGCGGTCTCGGAGGTCATATCGGAGAGGAGTAAGACGAGCACTATTTCCATGGCTTAAGAGGTTGATGTTTCCATTCAGATCATAACTATAACGCCACTGGGTTTTGTCATTTACAGAAACAGTCTGAAGTTGCCCATCAGCATCGTATTCATAGAAGTATCTTGTTATGTTGGCATCTACTCCCACTCTTATGTCACATATTACCATACGCCCCATATTATCATATTGAATAGTCATCCAGTAGGCAATGGCCTTTAGGATTTCATATTGGACTTCAATAACTTGTCCGTTGGCACTGAAGATCTTGGTGTGCTTCATCACCGTAGTGGTTATGACCTGATTTAAATCGTAATTAATGACACTGAATTTTCCAAACTGCTCTGTTCTACCGGAAACATCAACATATCGGTACAGATCTATGGGCAAAGGGGTTTCGTTGATCACAGCTTGCATGCTGGTGACTCGGAAGTTGTTGTAGCTGTAGTCAAACCGAGCATTCACCAGCCCTTCTTCACTGAATCTGAAGATCTGGCGTCCAATAAGAGGTCCTGAGGAATCAAAATAAAAGCAATGAGAACAGAGTTAGATGGGTAATGTTGAGCAGTCAGAAGGATCTAGGGTCAGGGTCTTTAGTAGTGATGCTTTTTACATTCAAAATAAGATATTAGAGATTGACCTCTGATACTTCACGCCCGGGCATATCATCTCATAGACACACACTCTCAGAGTTGTGGTCAGTAAATACGAAAAAAAATACTGTACCCTATAGTTATAGAGTAATTTAATTACAGGAACTATTTAAGTAAGCCATCCAGTGGCTTGGAGTGATGAAACTGATATTATCAACATGCTTTCTTGTTATAATCACTGACAAAAGTACTTTTAATTCCTTTAACCTGTGCTCCAAAGTCAGCAGGTCAGGTGTTGACAAAATCCAGCATTAAGGTAACTGTGGGCATTTTATAAGCGAAGCCCAAAGGATGAAATATATTCAAAAGTCCTGACTTTTGAACATATTTTGCCATCCTCTGAGGCTTATAGAGGTTACATGGGGCTTGAGCTTGTTTCAGGGAGGCTCAACTCTTGCAGCTGCATCTCTGGGAAGATCTGGTAATGAGTTAGGAAGGAGCACACAGTTGGATCAGGTTCTTAGATCTCAGCTTTTCTGAGAGCTGAGACAGAGACAGAGAAATGCACGGTAGGCTTTTAAGGAATCAGCTTTCATACAGTCTATAACAGGTTTTTAATTTTCAATGGAAGATAATTTAATAACCAAGGTGAACGTTTATGGGATTGGATGTCTACAGGTCAATGCTTCTATTTCACACTATGGCCAGCAAAAATGTCATAAGAAAATACTGACCGATATGGATGTACGCATTGCCACCCTTTCACAACAAACCTGTTTGCCTATATCTGATCGTGCAAATGAAGCCATCGTGCAGCAGGTGTATTGTCTTAATGACTCCAGAAGACTCTTCATATGTTAACGTGACCTGAGTGGTATCATAGAGAACCTCAGACAGCCTGGCTTGCTTGGTGTATTTGTATAAAACTCTGCGCCCTGTTCCCAGATGCAGGGTCTGCAGCAGTCGGCCGTCCCGACTATAGTCTTGGATAAAAGAAGTGCTACTGTCTGGCGGGGTGTAGATGTTCCGGTAGTAGCCCACTGAAAGCATGGTTTGTAGGCTGTGGCGCACCATACTCGGCATGGTGACTGAGAGCAGACAATCCGACTGGTCGTACTCAAAGATGTAACGCCGCTGGCTATGTAAGAGAAGCATCACAGACTGAAAAGAGACAAAGGCAAAAAATAGCATAATACGTACCACTGAAGCTGAGGAGATTAAAGGAGATTAAAGAAACACATTCATCCATTCAGCACAGATTTATCCAGCACTTGCTATGTGCCAGGCGCTGAGGTGGACCCTAGTGGATATAGTAGTGGGCAGCAATGGTGTCTATGGAGAAGAAAGACAAGCAACCAAGCAATTACAATACAGTGTGCAGTGTGTTATGACAGAGGAAGGACAGGGTGCTTATGGGAGCAGAGCAAGAATAGCTAAGCCAGACTTAAGAGGCCAGGAAAGGCTGCCTGGAGAAAGCAACATCCAAGTTGAGACCTCAAGGATGACTAGGGCTTGGCCAGGTTTGAAGGCAGGGAGGTGGGGGGAGCCGGGGAGGGAGATAGTGCTCCTGACAGAGGACACAGCATTGTGAGGGTCTGGATAAGAAAGAGAACATGGCTTTTCAGAGAATGAGAGGAATTTTGTGTGGCCAGAGCATGCATGTTGGGGGCGGGGTGGTGAATGGCAAGAGATGAGGCCAGTTAGGTAGGCTGGGTCCAGATCATGCTGGGCTTTCTAAGCCATGCTAAGGAGGCTGAACTTAAACATGCTGGCAACAGGGAACCACTGAAAGCCAAGTTGAAGGACAGGGTCTTGCAGAGCTGGGAGAAACAACCAAGTCAGTGTTCGAAAAGGGTTACTGTTTGTGGAGTCGCATCCATGTGGAGATGGATTAGAGGAAGGTAAATGGAGGGGAGGGCATGCCACATACTGAGTTACAGTCACCAAAAAGTATTTATTGACTTCACGTAGTCGTAAAGTCTTCCTCAAAAGTTTGTATATAAAATATTATAATTATTTCTTCGCAATTCGTGTTTTATTTATTTTTTGAGTATAGTTGACATTTTTTTAAGATTTTATTTTTAAGTAATTTCCATACCCAGCATGGGGCTCGAACTCACAACCTCGAGATTGAGAGTTGCACGTTCTATCAACTGAGTCAGCCAGGAGCCCCTACAGTTGACATTTTAAAAAAATTTGAGTATAGTTGACAAGCAATTCATGTTTTAAACTATATTAGGGGAACATGCCATTAAAAAGTGAAGAATCCTCTGGATATGCAACCCCTTTCCTCCAAACTGATCTGTATTTCAGAAACAATTATTTGTTGAGGTATAATGCCTTGCCTGTGATTAGGTATTTCACTGATACTGGTTTACCTTATTTTAACCTCAAATACAAACATAAAAGGAACACTGTTTTACAGGGGACTCAATCTTATTTCTAATTGAAAAGCATTTAAATCTCATCTTTTAATAAAAATAAAAAACGCTCACCCCTGGAGACTCTGATATAACTCTCTAAGGAAGCTTTATCCCTCCCTTCTTGAGAATTACCTTCTCAAGCAAAAGGATTTAGTTGAGCTTATTTTCTGAAGTTTGTGTTATGAAAACAATAGGTATCTTTTCATTTTCTAAACATAAATTACATAAATATTTATGAATATGAATTACAGAAGCGTATATAATGTGCACTTCCCTCTTCTAAATATGAAATTATATTCTAGTATTAAATCTATTTCTTGGAACTGCATATCCCCCCTGCCCTTCTGAGAATTATTGATTCTGAATCACATGTCAGTACTGTGAAGTCAAAGTCTGCAATTATTCGCTCGTTTGTTCCTCCTTTTTGTTTTTTTCCCACCAAGTACCCTGCCTTGCGGATACAAAGCGGCAAGCTGCGTGCGGAAAGCCTGTCACCTTATCACCTGGGGACAACCTGCACCTCAGAAACCGCCACTGAACAGAGGCAGGAGACTTGGCATGAGGACATGAAGGGAGAACCACCTCCTTGATCAAGGCAGAACCAACAGAACCTGGGGGGAGCTGGTGAAAAATGCGTTTGCATTAGCTCTATGCTCAAAGTCAGATTTCTCAGCTCCTTTCCAGTCTCTTCTGTCAGTTTGCCATGAACAAATGACATCTGTCACCTGTGATGCGGGCCAGGGACAATCACCATATGGCTCCCACACATTATCTAGTACCAGCCTGCCTGGGCCATGCCTTTTCCAGTCGCTGTGCGTGCCTTGCCAAACATGTATAGCACATTGCCTTTGTGTTCTCTCCCCTGTCTCATCCATCGCGCTGCAGTAAAAAACCACTGCCCGACTCTGTCCTAGGTGCTGCTGATGCAGTACGGTCTCACAAGCTCCCTGGTCTGTTTTAAAGCTTTCTGCCAATGGCAAGGATGTGGATGACGTGATTAGAAAGCTCGTGAATGTAACTGTTGTGTTGCCAGAATGCCATTTAGCTCTCACTTGGCTGCTTTTTCACTTTGGGTGGGCATTATTACCAGTTTGTTCAAAAATAATGCTTATGAGTCCATCCAGCGCCCACAGTGCTGCTACAGCAGGAAAAAGGGCCATTTCTTCTGAGTCCAAACAATAGAGTTGGAGACTTTGTATTTTTTTAATGGGTTGTGAGATCCTAAAAGAGATCATTGTAAGGAAGAAAAAAAGAGCAAGCATGTATATTCATTTGAACGAGAATAGAAATGAGCAATGGTAGAAATTTGAAAAGTTAAAGCACTCGAGTAACCACCAGATGGCAGTGTGGGGCCTCCTGGAAGCTCAAGGCAACGTGCATTGTATCCCTTTAGGCAGGCAGCTTTTGAAAATTTCAGCCCCAAAGAGGCAATTTTGTGTCAATGTATCAGACTAAAGCATCTTATTAAATGATTACAAAATATCTTTAAATGCATTTTTAAAATGAAGTCCTTAAGAACGATTTTAGGAAACCGAAAGATTTACATTTACTGTAATACAAAATTTTAGCCCCACAAGTCTTCAAAATATAATTAACTCAGAGAAGTCTCATAAATCAAGATAGAGAATTAATGACCACATAGAGAAAATTTAAGAAACAATAATTGATTTTTTTAATAGAGAAGAGATCATTTAAGCAACCACAGCTATTACCCAAATAATTATTTTTCTCCTAATGGCTACAGACCATTGTGCATGAAAATGATAACACGCAACTTGCACTTGCTCTAGAGGAAGTCACACGATTTCTACAAAATTTCTGCACATTAGGGTGAAAGATTTGCTGTTGCTTTTTAATATATCATGGTATAGGGATGGCAAGCAAATTTACAGAAGTATTTTGAAGCATAAAATGAAGTATACATTTTCAAGCTTGAGAATTCTTTTTTTTTAATAATTTTTTATTGTTATGTTATCCACCATACATCAAGCTTGAGAATTCTTACTTTAAAATATACTAGAGGAGCCAGTCTCTTTGTGTTTGCTCTGCCCCAGACATAGTGAAAGATTGTGCCAGCAAAGGCCATGTTAAAGAGAGGACTCAAAAGAGCACAGGAAGACACAGAACCTCATCACCTCACTGCAAAAGTTACATGTACATTGGATTTTGGTAAATTCAACATTCCTTCCCTTTTTATTTTCTAGAATCACAATTTCAAAAATGCTTTAATTTTCTTCTTTTCTCCTTCCTTCATTTCCCTTCCTCTTTTCCTTCCTTCTGTTCTTTCTTGTTTTAATTTCCCTTCAAGTAGTGGTAAGTAAGTAGCATTTGTTAGTGACTGGAAAATAAATGCTATAATGCACTATGTAAATGGAACGAAACTAACTTATTTTATGATTAGATGCTCTGGGTGCTTTATGTTCAGTTATTTCATTTAATCATCATATCTATTCAGTGAATTAGTTATTATTACTGGTAATTATAACGTTAATAAAATCAATCTCATGATAAATGATTTTTGGAAAGTAAAGAACCATTTCATAGTTGTGTGCTTTGCAGGTTCTGAGTTTTGCATAATACGATTGTTTAAGTCAAGGGCTACCCTTATTTATTATTATTTTTTTTAGTGTAGGCTCCACATCCAGTGTGGAGCCCAACATGGAGCTTGAACTCACAACCCTGAGATCAAGACCTGAGCTGAGATTGAGTCTGATGCTTAACTGACTGAGCCAACCAGGAGCCCCGGGGCAACTTTGTAATTAGAGAACAAATTAAGTGTGAACTCAAGAAAGGGACAAAAGTCAACTAAAAGGCACAAGTGATTCAGCTTGTCTCACTGGTCAGTAAACTAGTCTCTGGAAGTCCCTAGGGCTACTCTTGATACATGATACATCAGTCAGGTCTTATTTCTGTCCACAGCAGGCACTGGCTCATAGACTTTTCCTTGTTTTTAAAGAGATTGCCAACTCAGTTTCTGTAGCAAAGAGAACTTAGGGGAAGTTTCCTTCACATGATTCTTTGCTCAGCTAATTCAGAAAAGAGAAGCAATAAAATTGCTTCATTGGTGTCACAGAAGCTGCATGAAGGGCTAAAATGTAAGTTTTCAATAGGTTCTTTTGCTATTGTATAGGCAGCCTAAAGGAAAAGTCTTAGAGACTCAGATGCAACTGTTTACAGGCAGTTATAGCTCAGTGGCCAAATTATGGTGCTAATGAATTTGGTTTATGAGTTCAAACCCATGTACACTCCTAGGGAGTATTGGCTACTTCACTGGCCACATGTATGACCTGTGGAAGGGTCAGTGCAAACCCATCCTCATTCCTTGAAAAACAAATCAGCCTATGATCTAATAATCAGTGGTATCTTTTTTTCATATGAAGGTCATCATTACATGCATTGCCCCTGTGAACATACCACCAAATATTTGGATTCAGGGAATTTTGCAAGTTTAGTACTTTGTGAACATGAGCCATAGGATTTTGCAAATCATTCTTATTACCAAAATTCAAGAGGAAAGACCCACTCTTTAAGATTCAGATGTTCCTAGTGTAGAGTGTAGATTATAGATTTGACCTATTTCTTCAGCAGACAAAGGGTGGATATAGCAGAAGACTCTCTTCTTTACCCTGGCTCCCAAGTGGAATTCTGCTTTATCTCCTAGGCATTTCCAACTTGGCACATTCCCCAGCAACTGCCTCTGGGAAGTAATATTATAGTTTTATAATGACATACAACCACTGGCATACTTTCCCCCAAAAAAACTTTGGGGAGTGTATCAGAAAGGCCTGACATTATTGGGTGCAAATAGTGAAATTCTGTCATGTGAGCTATGAGCTTCTGTGACTTCTGTAAGAACTTCTAGGGGTTAACTTGCACTGATTACCCTTGAATCCTCAAGGGAAAGCATTTTTTCAGTATTCCCAGAAATTAATTCAGGACTGATGAATTCGGTTGAATGGACAGATTTGGGAAATAAGAGACGCCATCTTAGGACATCAGAAATTGAGATGGCGGATGGAAATCACTCTCTCTTACTGTTCTCTGCTACTGATCTGGCCAGAAACCATTTTGCCGTGTGGGGGCTGTTTGACAAATGGTTCCGGGGGTGGGATTAAAATCCTTGTCTATTTCCACCAGACAGGAGCCCATGAGCTCCCATTACGGGTGCTGCTGGAGACTCACTGTACACACAAAGGACTATTACCAATGAGGCCCCACTGCTACCATTTGCTCAGACTGATTACTTGTGAAAATTAGTCCTCAAATGTATACCTACTAAAACTTCACTGATTATCCCAACAAAATTAGAATTCCTTATCCTCTAAGAGGTTCTTCTCCAGAGCTGAGATACATTAACACACAATTTTATAATTTTCGACCTATTTTACCTCAGTATGAGCTTTCATAATAATAAGGATACCTTTTCAAGAGCTTGAACAAATATGCTCAAATGAGGAGAAAGCTAAGCCATTATCCTGAGTTCAGTTTGAAAGAGTACCTGGCAGAGTGTGGGGTTGGGGAAAGTTTTTAGCAGAAAAACAGCTTATCCTTATAGATACATTTTGTTGTTGTTACTTCTACAGAGCAGAACAGCCAGAACAGACTTTTCTCCTGTAGGTCTCCTCACCAAGATTGGTAATTAGGGCCATTTTCAATATTCTCGTGCAGAAACTCAGAACTAGTTTATTCTCCCTACAAACTTACCTTTTCTAAGTAGGTATAGCTCCAAATTTTCCCATCAGCCCAAGTTCTTGAAATTATTTTTCCGCTCTGGTCATATTCCATTTTTTCATTCCACGTCCCTCTTTGAATAAACGTCACCAATCCCGAAGGTGAATATGTGATGTTCACTTCATTATATCGGCTTACGGGAGACCACAGAATAGGTCGTCCAGTCTGGTCATAAAGAATTCGAAGAGTGAATTTCCGGTGGTCATCGTAGATCTTTCCTGTGCGAGTTATATGATCAAAATCTATGGAGAGCAGGTTTCGGTTATGGGCCTGCAAAACAGATATGAGACCTATTTTAAGCACTGCTTTGGTTCCTCTCATCAAGTGCATTCACAATCATGAAACCACCACCTTAAATCCACCCGGAGCTAAAGACAAAAGAAGATGTTGGGGGTGGGGAGGAGGGAAGGCCAGTTATGGACGGTTTTCAGGCAAAGCATAGTAAACCGGGTATGGTTTTTATGCAGATTTAGATCCTCGCCTTTCCCACTGATGAGAGTTTCCCGAGACTTAGAGCCATCCTCCCTTTTCTGGCACAGAGAGGAAGACACCCTTACAAATGGAGATTTCCCTTACAAACATATATGCCTCTTACAAAAGGGTAACTTCCACTCAGTTTTCGGAGCTTCTGAGTCGGCTGTTTCTTAAAATCAGCCCAGGGGCGTCTGCGTGGCTCAGTCGGCTGAGCGGCCCGCTTTTGGTTTTGGCTCAGGTCCTGATCTTGGGGTCAGGATCTCCGGCTGGTGGGATCAAGCTCCTTATGGGGCTCCAGGGGCTGAGCGTGGAGCTTGGTGGGGATTCTCCCTCCCCCTCTGACCCCAACTGCGCATGCGCATACATGCGGGCACTCTCAGGAAAAAAAAAATCAGCCTAAAATAATCTTTATGCCAAAAAGGCATATTTTAGGGTGGCAAATTCTGCTCTCCTTCAAACAAAAAAGGAGAGACTTTGAGAAGTGTCAACAGCAGTGGCCCGGGAATCAGGAGCCATTTCATTAGCTGCTTGTCTGTGTACCAGTCATTTCTTCTATCAGAGACTTAGTTTTCTTAACTGTGAAATGGGAGTGATATTACCAGTTCCTACCACAGAGTTGTGCTAAGAATTAAATAAGATTACATATACAGGTACTGCGAAATGTAAAAATAATATTGGTAATCGTTATTTTAAAAATATAATGATTACTTTTCTCTTTTAGGTTAGGCTTTTGAATGGGTCCGTGTGTCAGATTCCAAGGTGATTGTAGTTTGGTGTACTAGATCTATATCTGTAGGAATTGTCAACATGATCCAGAACAGAATGTTAAATATCTGGCTAATGAGGAAGGGAGAAAAAAACCAACATTAGGGTTTGACTACATTAATCAGAGTTGAACTGAACAGATTCACTCGCTACTCAGCTAAACTTTATGTTCATTTTTAATTTTTGTGGTCAAGGGTCCTTTTAAATATCTGAAAGCTACATACTGTGTCCCCAGGAAAATGCACATAAACACATACATGTAGATTATAAATAAAATCTCAAGGGGGCTCTGAAACCCCATTGTAAAATCTCTAGGGGTCTCAAGAGTCCAATTTTAAAATCTCCGTTCAGAAAGAGATTTTTAAAAATTTTTTATTGAAAAGTTTTTATTTTTATTTTTAAAATTGAGATATAATTGACATAGAACATTATATGAGTTTCAGGTGTACAACACAATGATTCAGTATTTGTATATATTGTGGAACGATCACCACAGTAAGTCTAGTTAACATCCATCACCACACATAGTTACAAATTTTTTTTCTTGTGATGAGAACTTTTAAGATCTACTCTCTCAGCAACTTTCAAATATACGATACAGTATTATTAACTATAGTCACTATGCTGCCCATTACATCCCCAGGACTTCTTTATTTCATAACTGGAAGTTTACACTTTTGACCACCATCACCCATTTCCCTCCCTGCCCCCTACCCCCTGCCCCCTAACCACCAATCTGTTCTCTGTGTCTGAGTTGTTTTTGTTTTTTTGTTTTTTTTAAGAGTCCACATATAAGATCCAAACAGAATTTTTTTGTCTTAGTAGCTAGATAACTGTGAAGGGGAGCAGGATATGCCACCCAAAACATGCCACCTTGTATGCATGTGTATTATTTTGAGCTGATGTCAATCAAGACCCAGCAGGCTCAAGAAAAACTTTCACCTCTTCCTTAACTACCTAAAAGAATTTAGATAGGGGGCCTGGCTCGGAAAGAGAGCTATTACCCGAGATTACCCTGTATTTGAGTGACCTATCTGTATGGCAGAACAAACATCCAATTACCAAACATCTGCTCCTACTCTTGTCCTGTGAATTACCCTCCTCCCCTTTGAAGCCCCAGGCCCCTCTCCCATTCCTTAGTTCAGGATGGTATCTAAGCCTCATATTGCCTTGACTGTCTTTGAGCCTCTTGGGTTTTTGTGGAGCTTCCATAAATACAAAATTAAATTTCTTTTTCTCTCATTAATCTGTCTCATGTAAATTTTATTAGACCAACCAAAGAACCTAGAAAGGAAGAACCTAGAAAGCCCACGTTCTCATTTCAAAGTCCAGTCTTCCCTTGCTCACTTTGGTTTTCAAAATAGTTTCCTCAAACACCACTCTCCATCATAAAAGTGATGTATTTTCGTTGTAGAAAAATTGGAAAATAAAGAAATACAAAAAGAAAATAATTACCTGTAATCTCACCCTCCAATGCTAATCACTGCTAATATTTGGCTGCATTCCATTTATCTCTCTTTTATGCATAATCTGTTTATACACTCAAAAAATACAACTAGGATTGTACTTAAAAGTCCTGTGTCCTACTTTTAGCTAATGTTTTATCTTGAGCATTCCTCGTATTATTATATATTCTTTTTTTTTTTTTAAAGATTTTATTTATTTATTTGACAGAGAGAGACAGTGAGAGCAAGAACACAAGCAGGGGGAGCAGGAGAGGGAGAAGCAGGCCTCCCGCCGAGCAGGGAGCCCGATGTGGGACTCGATCCCAGGACTCCGGGATCATGACCCGAGCGGAAGGCAGACGTCTAACGACTGAGCCACACATGTGGATTTTAATGGTTGCATAGTATCTTCTTACATGATAATTATTTATCCTTTCTCCTATTGTTGGAAGTTAGAGTTTTTATTTTCTATTATTCTTTCATATTTCATATTTTGCTGAACATTTTTGTAAATGAGTATTTCCTTAATACAGAACGCAAGAAGTGAAATTACCAGGTGAAGTGATAAGAATATATCAAAGACTCCTGATGCAACATGAGTCATTGCTTTATAGTGCATGAAGCTTCTACAAATTTATACTTCCTTTAAGTAGTAGTGGGGGAGCCCATCTTATTCCATCCTTACCAGCATCAAGTAAGTGTTAGCACTGTTAGTAAATTTTTCTCAATATCAGAGTGGGAAAATGGTATGTTACTGTAGTTTAAATTTGCATTTATTTGATAACTAGTGAGGCTGAATCTTTTTAAATGTCTATTGGCGACATGTACGTCTTCTATGAATAAAAAAAAAAAGAGGGTTTTTTTTTTTTTCATTTTTCTATTGGGGTATGGCACTTCGCTTTAAAAAAAAAAATCTCTTTTGGTTCAGTTTCTTCATCAGCCAGCTGGGGCTAATAATATTTGCCCTTAATTTTGAGCTTCTGGGAAAAAAAAAAAAGGACCTATCAAATGTTCCATGACATGAAATCTATCCAGAAGACTAGAGATTAGATACTTAAATTATTTGAAAGGAAATGCTGTTAGTCTCAGAGGTAGGTTTAATTCGGGGAAAGAGACACACACAGATTAGGAATCAGGACTCTTTAAACCATCTGTAGCCAATGTGTGCAGTATTGTAGTGCATAAATATACAGTAACCTGCTGTTATTACCTAAAAAGTGATAGTGAAGCACATGTTTTCTGTCTTTTGATACGCAGGGCTTGGAAACCGATATGTAACCAGGTGTTCCTTCCTCAACTACCTTTCCTGTGGTTTTATAGCCACATATCTCCAACTGTAATAACACTCATTTACAATAGCTGTAAAATATCCATGTACTCCCAGAGACGGTTGTAACTGTTACAATTTATGTTATAATGATAGTTAAAGAGCCAAAGTAACAAGTGATTTCCAGTTCAACTAAATTTGTGGTTTTATTTGTCTGATAGATTAAGTTTACTACTCAAGAACATATTTCTTAATAAAGTCATTACAGTTATACAAGCAGGGATCAGATCACTGTTAAGTGGTACAAAGCAAGCAGAGGAAGACAGCCTAATGTTCTTTCTGTGCTTGTCAATACGTCGGCAACCATGCTTCTCTTTTTCAGAATAAAGTACTCTGAAACTCAGATGCTGTGGAAAAACTATTATCAAAGGTTTGGAAGGTGTGATATTGTGATTTATAAGAAATGTATATTTGGTCTTGGACCCTGTTCCATGCACAGAGCTCCTGAAACTCTTGGAATCTCCTGTGATAAGAGTGATAAAGCTGCCTTTTGTTATGTTAACGAGGTGACTTTTGGAAGCCTCTCAAGTAACCTAAGAATGGGGGCTGGTTGCCGGGGAAACCAACCACATGATTAGAGGGTTAGAACTTTGAGTACCTCCCTCTAAACCTCTGGAGAAGGGTGGAGTGGCTGGAGGTTGAATCAATTGCCAATGGCCAATGATTGAATCAATCATTCCTAAGTAATGAAACCTCTGTAAAAACCCAAAGGACAGGCCAGAGAGCTTCGGGGTTGGTGAACAAGTGGAGACGCTGGGAGAGTGGAGCATCCGGAGAGCACAGAAACTCCGCACCCTTTCCCCATACCCCGCCTTCTGCATCCTTCCATCCGGTTCTTCCCCGGTTATATCCTTTTATAATAAATTGGTAATCTCATAAGCAAAATGTTTCTCAGTTCTGTGAGCTGCCCTAGCAAACTAATCAAACCCAAGAAAAGGGTTGTGGGAACCTCTGATTGATAGCCAGTCCATCAGAGGCACTGGTAACAACTTGGACTTGGTGACTGGCATCTGAAGTGGCGGGCAGGAGGCAGTTTTGTAGGACTGAACCCGTAACCCACGGAATCGCATGCTATTTCTTGGTAAATAGGGTCAGAATTGAACTGAATTGTAGGACAGCCGGCTGGTGTCCCCAGAATTGCTGGTTGCTGTGGGGAACTCCAGCTCCCACATTGGCATTGGGTCCAGCAACCCAAAAGAGAAGGTACTGTAACATTCGGCTCAGAGCTGAAAGGGGGTGAAGGAATAGAAGATGCCACA